GCTGCTGCGAGCATGTGCCGTGACGTTGCGTTTGCAGTAGAGGCTCAGCCAATCAGTTTTCTCGCCGCAAGTCGGGGCCGCGATGGGTCCCCTATTGTAGCCAGGCTGCGGTGCATTTTTGCTTTGCTTTCGCGTGAAAATGCACCGCTTTTATGAGGATGATGCTGATGATGATGATGATGCTGAACTGACATGATAATCATCATGACGCATCCTCAGCATCACCAGCAGGCATCATGATAATCATGTCCACGCATCTTCTACATCTCAAATCGGCTCTAACGGGACTGATGATGATGATCATGATGATGATGATGATGAACTGACATGATAATGATCATGACGCATCCTCAGCATGACCAGCAGGCATCATGATAATCATGTCCACGCATCTTCTGCATCTCAAATCGGCTCTAACGGGACTGATGATGATGATCATGATGATGATGATGAACTGACATGATAATCATCATGACGCATCCTCAGCATCACCAGCAGTCATCATGATAATCATGTCCACGCATCTTCTGCATCTCAAATTCGTGCATCCTGTGCATCACCAGCAGTCATCGTGATAATGCGCTTTGATTGGCACGCTTCCATAGAACCTGCGCCCATTCTGGAGCGATCGTTTTCTTTCCTTGGCTTGGTGCATTTTTGTCATAATCTGGTAAGAAAATGCGCCGCTGTAAGTGCCTACAATTCTGCTGCTGCTGGGAGCATGTGCCGTGACGTTGCGTTTGCATGATAACCATCATCGTGCAGCCCCTGCATCACCAGCAGTCATGATGATAATCATGTCTACGCATCCTCTACATCTCCAATCAGGTCACAACGATGAAGATGTGATGACGATGAGCATGTCATCATCACCATGATGGTGGTCATCATCGTCATCATCATCATCGTCACCATCATCAGCATCATCATCATCATCCTTCTCATCCTCATCATCACCGTTGTCATCATGGACGATAACCATCATCGTGCATCTTCTGCATCACCAACAGTCATGATGATAATCATGACTACGCACCCTCTGCATCTCCAATCGGCTCTAACGCTACCCTTGAACCGTATATACAAAAGATAAGGACGACAACATCATGTCTACGCATCCTCTGCATCTCCAATCAGGTCACAACGATGATGATGTGACGATGATGAGCATGTCATCATCACCATGATGGTGGTCATTATCGTCATCATCGTCATCATCGTCATCATCATCATCGTCATGATCGTCATCATCACCGTTGTCATCATGGACGATAACCTTCATCGTGCATCCTCTGCATCACCAACAGTCATGATGATATCATGACTACGCACCCTCTGCATCTCCAATCGGCTCTAACGCTACCCTTGAACCGTATATAAAAAAGATAAGGACGACCACATCATGTCTACGCATCCTCTGCATCTCCAATCATGTCACAACGATGATGATGTGATGATGATCAGCATGTCATCATCACCATGATGGTGGTCATTATCGTCATCATCATCATCATCGGCATCATCATCATCATCGTTATCATCGTCATGATCACCGTTATCATCATCGGTGAGAACCATCATCGTGCATCCTCTGCATCACCAACAGTCATGATGATAATCATGTCTACGCATCCCTCTGCATCTCCAATCAGGTCACAACGATGAAGTGATGACGATGAGCATGTCATCATCACCATGATGGTGGTCATTATCGTCATCCTCATCATTGTCATCACCATCATCGTCATCATCGTCATCATCGTCATCATCGTCATCATCGTCATCATCATCGTCATGATCATCGTCATCATCATGCATGATAACCATCATCGTGCATCATCTGCATCGCCAGCAGTCATGATGATAATCATGTCTACGCATCCTCTACATCTCCAACCAGGTCACAACGATGATGATGTGATGACGATGAGCATGTCATGCATCACCATGATGGTGGCCATCATCGTCATCATCATCAGCATCATCATCGTCATCGTCATCATCACCGTTGTCATCATGGACGATAACCATCATCGTGCATCTTCTGCATCACCAACAGTCATGATGATAATCATGGCTACGCACCCTCTGCATCTCCAATCGGCCCTAACGCTACTCTTGAAACGTATATACAAAAGATAAGGATGACAACATCATGTCTACGCATCCTCTGCATCTCCAATCAGGTCACAACGATGATGATGTGATGATGATGAGCATGTCATCATCACCATGATGGTGGTCATTATCGTCATCATCGTTGTCATCATAATCGTCATCATCATGCATGATAACCATCATCGTGCATCATCTGCATCACCAACAGTCATGATGATAATCATGTCTACGCATCCTCTCTACATCTCCAATCAGGTCACAACGATGATGGTGTGATGACGATGAGCATGTCATCATCACCATGATGGTGGTCATCATCGTCATCATCATCAGCGTCATCACCATCAGCATCATCATCATCATCATCGTCATCGTCATCATCACCGTTATCATCATCGGTGATTACCATCATCGTGCATCTTCTGCATCACCAACAGTCATGATGATAATCATGGCTACGCACCCTCTGCATCTCCAATCGGCTCTAACGCTGCCCTTGAAACGTATATAAAAAAGTAAAGAAGATAAGGACGACAACATCATGTCTACGCATGTGCGTCCTCTGCATCTCCAATCAGGTCACAACGATGATGATGTGATGATGATGAGCATGTCATCATCACCATGATGGTGGTCATTATCGTCATCATCGTCATCATCGTCATCATCCGATAACCATCATCGTGCATCCTCTGCATCACCAACAGTCATGATGATAATCATGACTACGCACCCTCCGCATCTCCAATCGGCTCTAACGCTACATTTGAAACGTATATAAAAAAGATAAGGACGACAACAACATGTCTACGCGTCCTCTGCATCTCCAATCAGGTGACACGATGGTGATGTGATGATGATGAGCATGTCATCATCACCATGATGGTGGTCATTATCGTCATCCTCATCATCATCGTCATCATCATCATCGTCACCATCGTCCTCATCATCGTCATCATCATCGTCATCATCATGCATGATAACCATCATCGTGCATCATCTGCATCACCAGCAGTCATGATGATAATCATGTCTACGCATCCTCTACATCTCCAATCAGGTCACAACGATGATGATGTGATGAGGATGAGCATGTCATCATCACCATGATGGCGGTCATCATCGTCATCATCATCATCGTCATCATCATCAGCATCATCATCATCGTCATCGTCATCCACACCGTTGTCATCATAGACGATAACCATCATCATGCATCTTCTGCATCACCAACAGTCATGATGATAATCATGACTACGCACCCTCGGCATCTCCAATCGGCTCTAACGCTACCCTTGAAACGTATGTAAAAAAGGAAAAAGATATGGACGACAACACCATGTCTACGCATCCTCTGCATCTCCAACCAGGTCACAACGATGATGGTGTGATGATGATGAGCATGTCATCATCACCATGATGGTGGTCATTATCGTCATCATCATCGTCATCACCATCGTCATCATCATGCATGATAACCATCATCGTGCATCCTCTGCATCACCAGCAGTCATGATGATAATCATGTTTACGCATCCTCTACATCTCCAATCAGTTCACAACGATGATGATGTGATGATGATGAGCATGTCATCATCACCATGATGGTGGTCATCATCATCATCATCAGCATCATCCTCGACGCCAGCCAGCAGCGGCGGTAGTGGCAGCAAAGTGCGTAATGGCTAGTTCAGAACAGACTGCGAATGCAAGTCCCTCCTCACGGGCATGATGTCTGGCTCTAACAAGACACTTGAAACGCACACGAAAAAGACACGGATGACGACAATAATGATCATGATGACGAAAAAGACACGTCTTCGAGGTGCAAAGGATGCTACGATGACGGTATTGCTTACGCTGATAATGTTGAATCTTCGGCTATGCTCATTTACCAACCAACCTTGGACTTGTGCTGTAACCACCCTTCCCGTGCGCCTCCCCCTTTGAGGAGAAGGGGTCGGCGGATAAACAGACTGGCAGAAAGCCCTTGTTTACGTAAAGCGGCCGTCCAGACAAAACTTGTGCTTGAAGCAAGCACCTGACTCGCAAGACATGCGCTTCACGTCACGGCACCGCCATTGATTGATGCGCTGTCGGGTTGTGAAGGTGTCCGCCAACCTTGGTAGAATCAAGGAAGGAGGCAAAGCATGTCGCTCACCCACAACGCACAACGCGGGATCACACATCTTTGCTTTTTGTTCCCACGTGTGCGTGTGTGTGTGTGTGTGCGTGTGTGTGTGTGTGTGTCTTTGTGTCTGTGTGTGTGTGCGCGTCCCTGTGTGTGTGCGCGTGTCTGTCTGTGTGTGTGTGTATGTGTGTGTGTGTGGTGTGTGTGGTGTGTGTGGTGTGTGTGTGTGTGTGTGTGTGTCTGTGTGTCTGTGTGTCTGTGTGTCTGTGTGTCTGTGTGTCTGTGTGTCTGTGTGTCTGTGTGTCTGTGTGTCTGTGTGTCTGTGTGTCTGTGTGTCTGTGTGTCTGTGTGTCTGTGTGTCTGTGTGTCTGTGTGTCTGTGTGTCTGTGTGTCTGTGTGTCTGTGTGTCTGTGTGTCTGTGTGTCTGTGTCTGTGTGTCTGTGTGTCTGTGTGTCTGTGTGTCTGTGTGTCTGTGTGTCTGTGTGTCTGTGTGTCTGTGCGTCTGTGCGTCTGTGCGTCTGTGCGTCTGTGCGTCTGTGCGTCTCTGCGTCTCTGCGTCTCTGCGTCTGTGCGTCTGTGCGTCTGTGCGGCTGTGCGGCTGTGCGGCTGTGCGTGTGCGTGCGCGTGTGCGTGTGCGTGCGCGTGTTTGTGTGTGTGCGTGTGCGTGTGCCTGTGCCTGTGCCTGTGCCTGTGCCTGTGCACGGGCACTTGGGTGGGTGGGTGGGTGGGGTGGGTGTCCTTGCTTGCCCAGGTTTATGACCTGAACGACGAGTGGCTGTCAAGCAACCAGATCTCAAATGACATTCTGAACATTGGAGGCCCACATGCGAGCGGCTTTGCCGACGGAACCCTTGTGTTTGAAGACTCTTCCGCCAGAGAATTGGTCCCAGAATTTGCTGGTCAATTCAACTGCCCTGTGAAAGTATCTCTTGGCAGGAGAAAGTTTGTTTGGGTCAGGCTTGAGACATCGCAAAGACCAAGAGTTGAAAAAAATGGCCACATCCCGCTGGCAAATTTTGGATGTCTGACCAAATGTGTTGAAACAGTGTGCTGCACCAGGCAGATTTTGTGGTGAACGACCCAACTCTGCGTGTGAACTTGCAGTCGGTGCGCCGCGCATGGAGGTGCCTTTCATGCAGCTGTGGAGGTGCATGGCAAGGACGCGCTTTTGGAATTCTCGCCTGTTCCGAGAATTGCCTCTTCACCCCGCTTGGTTTGGGCACAAAAAGGGATCCTTTACAAGTGAGGCCTTTTTGGAAAGCGGGTCGGAATACCAGGGAGTGGCGCCAGGAGTGGTCCTTCGGCGAAGATGGCATCACCTGCCAGGCCGGGGATTTGGAGCCGAGCCTTGCGCACGCAACTTGGGGCCCTGGTTTGGGCGCCAAACCGACATCTCCTTCTTTGGGCGACCGGTTGGGGTTCCGTATGAATTCGCAAGGGAGTAACGAACCGAAAAGGGAATCCCTCCAATGCTGAAAAATGTTGACCCCGTATTAGTATGTAACCCCCCCCCCTCGAAGGTCGGGAAGGCTTTCGGGGGCAAAATTTTGGAAGGTTTTTTGCCACCCCCCCTAAATAATCTAAAGTTGAGTTTCCATTTGTTTAGTATTGCTGTCCTTTTGAGATCTGGAATTGAGTTTCCATTTGATTTAGTATTGCTGGAGCTTCCTTTTGAGATCTGGAATTGATGGAGCTTCCTTTTGAGATCTGGAATCAAGTTTCCATTGAGAAGGCCTGGTTGTCTTTTTTTGGGGGGTGGGGCCGATGGACCGCACTAATTAGGGGGATTATTAATTGGGGGTGTTAGGGGCCAATGTGGGGTACTCTTTGAAACCTTCTAAACTGGTTTTTTTTGTAAAGGATTTAATAAGAAATCGACCATCTCAGAACACTTTTTGTTTTGTGGTTTGGGCAGGCCCAAAAGTATCCGCCAAGCTTCAAGAGGAGAGTAGGAGGTGGAGATGAGAGCCCTAAGCAAGGCAGCAGCATGAAGAGAAAGGTATCAGAAGAAAGCATGAGCCCATTTGAGCCAAAGCACCTATACAGGACACCATTCAGAGAAAGCATGGCAAGCAGCATGAGTCCACAATATTCAACATCAGCAGCATCAGCTAGCACCAAAAAACAGTTTACATTGTAATGAGCTCAAGAAGCAGTGGAGAAAATGAGATAGCAGCAGCCATTTGGGGGAGGGACCGGTTTAATTGGGGGGGTTCTTCTGCATCATTTTTTATTTGGGGTGGTTTTTCTGAGATATGAATTGTTTAGTATTGGGGGCATATGTTGAAGGATTGTTTTTTTCCCCTTCCTAAACAGAAGAAAAACAGCTTTCCCCCCAATTGGTGGTTTGGATTGGTGGCTTGGGGATTTGCACCCCTGGATCTTGTAGCGGACTAATAGGGGGGGGATTATTAGTACGGGGTCAACATTACGCCTGCAAGAGACAAGTTCCTCTTCGAGTGACCCCCTATCAGGTTTCAATATGGGCGAGAATCTCAAAATTGGGATGAGAAAGAAGCCGAATCAGCTTGGCAGGGGTCGCAATATCACGAAAAACAGTCTCCGGATTGTATTTGGAGCTGCTTGCTTGCTTGCTTGCTTGCTGGCTTGCTGGCTTGCTGGCTTGCTTGTCCCCGGCACGGTTTGAAGGGCGATTTGGGACCGAAGGGGCTATATACAACCTCACGAGCATCAGGTAAGCAAGAGTCTTACGAAAGGCGGGGGACGGACATTTGGAAGCAACAGTTCTGACCTTCGCTGATGAGTGAAAACAAGCCTAGGCGGAAAGCAAATGACCCCTCCTGGGTAAGCAAAGGGATCATTAAACCAAATGGAGGATGCACACAAGACCCTAATTGCTGGCCAGTATTTTTACCTGTCAGAGCTTTTCAAACAAATGCATGGCTTTCCTGTACCTGGGTGAACGTTGAGGCCCAGGTTGTGCCATTGATTACTCAATGTTCTTGTTAATGTGCGTGTGTGTTCTGACCCCGCAACCCGTTGGTTTCATTCATTATTGCTTAGCTGTCAACATAGACCTGCACGTGCCACCCATGTTTGATACTTCCCGAATCCTTGTCCGCTAGTTCGGAGCGGGTCCTATCATACCTGTCAGGCCCCCAGAAGCCATGATCCTCGGCGAAAGGGTGTGTTTGGGGCATTGGCGGGTGGATGTGTCGCTTCCACTTTACTCTATCGGAATGCTGGCGGTGTTCATGAATAGCTGAGACTCGTTTGATAAGGGAGTGATTAGATCCTGGTGGCAGCTCACGACTCATGTGAGTTTGCTTCAGGGACGTACCTCAAACCCCTTTTCAGCCAGCCTCCACACATGGCATTAAAGCGTCATCACGGATCGAGGGCGCCATATGTCCTTTCCAGCTTTGACGGACCTTCCAGGATACATCCGATGTTATCCCACCCACTGAAATGGAACCTGACAGGAGGTTCCCTTGAAAGAACTTGTTTGGCACCAAACCTTCCTCAGCTTCCATTTTGGTGCAAGGCTAGTGGAAGGGAGTGTGCAAGTTAGAGGGTGTTTGAAGGATGAAAGGATTTTGACCACCCGTCTCATGTATCGGTGAACAGCCGAGGCTGGAAGTGACACAGCTCGAGCTTTGACCTTGGCCCAAAGGTTTCGAAGGATTCATCACTACCTACTGTCCCTCCAATCGGGGAAGCTGATAGGATTCTGAAAGACTACCATTCGTTCGGGGGAAGCCCCATGCCCACTTCCAGGATTGGAAAGGGCATAGTTTACTGAGGTATCCCAGATCATTAAACATACCCAGCAACAATGTGCCACCATGTTTGGGAAAGCGCTGCGTCAGTTGGGGCGTTGGTCATTGATCGCTGCTGGTCAGGAGAATCGGGATCCTCCAAAAAAGGCACACAAACAACCCATGTGACATGCGTTTTCTCACTTGCCTATCAGTTTTGTCGAATATGCTGCGTGCAGGGGCATATGGTTGGGTCACCTATCCTCTGAGCACGTGATTGATTTGTTTCTTTGCCGGACGGTGTTCAGCGAAAAGAAGTGACAAAGACCTGCTTGCAATGCTGTTGGCCAGTACCGGGCGGCCTCGCTGGTCTCAGGAAACGCACGTCTACCGCATGTCCATCCCAATGGGGAGCACTTGCTATGCAGAAGCGGAGGCGGGAAAAGATGGGCACAAGGGGTTGGGAGGTCGGCTGCATTGCAGAGGTCAGGAGCAAGAGCAAACGATGCTTGGTTCCCGAAGGTGGGGACAAGATTAGTTGCGTCTCGCGGTCTGTGAACCCCGCGCATGGCATCGTGTTCCCCGCAAAGACCCCCACAGTGTGGAACTTCCGTAACAAGTTGTATCCCGAGCATCAGCTTCCTGGTTGCATTTGTCACAGGGATGAGGCCGAGGAACATGTGCAGTCTTCAGGAAGGGTCGCCTCAGCCGTTGGAGCGGACGTGTCGCATGTTGGCATCTCTGCAGGTGGTGCGATTTATGGACGCCGTCATGAGGAAACAATGGCAAGGTGGTCGCTTGGCGCCAAGGAGCTTGACTGGAAAGCCCACCAACGTCCCCTCCCTCCCCTCCTCTCCCAAACCCTCCCGTACCCTGCCCTCCCCTCTCCTCCCTCCCCCCCTCCCAACGTGCAAGGGCCCCCTTCCAAAGGAAAGTTGCTTTCCAGGCACCATTCCACCGGTGCTCAGGTTGTGGGAGGGAGCTCAATATTTAGGTCAAGTAAGGCACCGCGTCCTTGAGCATTACTGGCGGGCTTGCACTTGTAAGTGCTTGACGTAACTGAGGTGAGTACGACATGTTCGAGAGGAACTGTTGCAGCGGCTTGGCTGAAAAGTCACCTCATGTTTCATTGCCGGCACTGAAAGTGGCCGGTTGACCGATGCTGAAAAAGTCATGAAAGCTCCTGATGTAAAGCCGCGAGGTTAGTGCCATAGCCTATGATGCTAGACCCCTGCAACCCCATGGGGCTCCAGGTGCTCCTAGCGCAAATGGAAAGACTTCTTGCACCAACGGCACCACTGCTACCAGCGCTCGTTGGGAGGCGAAACATGTAATGTGAATGAAGAGGTGAAGGTCAGATTGAATCCGGGATCCATGTGGCTTGGACCTACGAATTAGGACTGCCATGTGGTTGGTTTACTTGTAACGTATTATGTTCATCCCAGATCCCCTTGTCATGCAGGTGGTCTTTGGAGCATCCTTTAAGAAACCCTGTTGGGGAATCTCCGATTTTGTTTTTCTGATTTGGATGACCTTTCCGTCCCTGCCAAGACCTTTCAAGCCAAGCACGGTGGGGGAAGGGGGTTGGTTCACTCACCAGTGCATTGACACAACTCCAGGCTTTGTCAGTGGTCAACAGCTAGCCATGGTCCAAAAACGTGTTCACTTTGCCTTCCAGTTTTGTCCGGGTCATTTTCTGCTTGGTAAGCTTTAGAAAATAGAGAGCGGCCTCCAAAAATGGGTGATGGACACAAATGCCCAAGTAAATAAGGATCCATAAGGATCCGTTTCCAATTGTGCCTTAAAGCGAGCGTTCCTTCTGGGCGCCATTTACCCCTGGAACCCAGTCAGACACCAGTTGGTAGGTGTTTCATCCCCGAATCCATCCACAGTATCCATATTGCTTCCTCAAAAATCCCCCAGCAATCCCAATACATTTCCCAGCACGGGGCAGATGGATGGGGATGCGTTTGCCCAGTGGGGTGTCCATATGGCTTCCTGAGCCGAGGTTTCTCAGAGGCGTTGTGCCAACACCTCGTCGGCCGGGAGCTCCCGGGCTGGGTGACCCGCTTCCCGCGGCTCGCCTCCACCGCCACGCGCCTCGACAGCAAGCGGCAGCGTACCCGTCCCACCCCAGAGCTCCACTTAGTTGCGGAACAAGCTGAGTTTTGGGGGCCACTTTCTGTATGGGAATTCCCTGTGTGCAGGGGATGGCCCACTTTGGTATAGACGGAAAGGGTCATTTCCGAATTTGCGTCACTTGACCCCCTATGTTTGTGAATGTGGTTTAAAACCTCCTAAACGGGGTTGCTGGGCGTATGCTGTAACCTTATTTAGGCAGCCAAGCAGCGGGTTCCCTTAAGGAATGCGTTCGGGCCAGTCATCGAGTTACTTGTACCAGCTACTTTGCTTCCTTTTCTTGTTCACCTTTCTTGCAGGAGGTTCCCCTTTAAACTCAACTACATAGAAACGGGTTGGGTGCCTTTTACCCATGGCTCCAGGGTTTGGGCCATACACAAACCGAACAAAAGGGCAGGCCCGTTTATAGGGAGAGTGCTCTTTTTTTTTCTCCCGAAGCCATCATTCCAAGCAGGTTATGCTAGAAGGCCTGTAACTGGTTCCGGCCCAAAATCGCAATCTTCACGTTTTGTGTCCCATGGCGTGAACATAAATGGGCGGGGAACAAACCCCGGATCAGTCAACCTGATGGATTAATAGGGGGTGGTGTTCCCCCGAAAGGTGAAGGATGCCCTAAGGTGGACCCTATGTTTCGAGCAGGGGTTTCTCACTTGACCGCAGGAGAAGTGTCAACCACTTGGTCGCCCTGGCGGAGTCTTTGGCCGCCGACCAGCTTGACGAAAAGCTGCCGCTGAGCTGCACGAGCGGTTGCCGCGTCTGAGCCCGGGCAAAAATTCTAGCAGCGAGCGTCCTTGTAATCCTCGGCCTGTCCTTGTCCATACAAAGTTGGTATTGATAGAGCCCAAGACGCCTAACACAACTTCTGCCGATCCAGCAGAAGAAAACCACTCTGCTGCAATGCTTAGCCAGTTGGGCATGTTCGAAATTGCGTGCACTGATGGAGGAAACTTTCCATTTTTTGGCTGGCCATGCTAGCGTTTCTTACCCACAGGTTGTTCGATTTCAATTAGCAGCCGCCACTTTGCGCTCATTCCCTCCAGACAAAGTTCGCTAGACTTAGCCGGCTTCAAACAGTTTCGTGGAAGCAAAGGCAGCAAGCATCGACTTGTTTTTGGGCATTGACCTTGGCATGTGAACGGTGCCAGGATTTGCCAGGACTCCCGGTGGTCCAAAGAGCCACAGGGCAAAAAATCACAGGTTTCAATTACCGGGGTATCCCAATCTCGTTCAGCAATTATGTGACATGTGGGCTTCTATGTGCCTCGTACGGCTTCTGTATGGAGACGATTTGTCTAGAAACTAAGCACCCGCGGGTCATGGGCTTCCTTTGAGACTTGCTGTGTTGGCTGCGTGGTGGGCAATCCCAAGTTTGCGGGGTCATGTGGGTTCGGTGGGGACTGCTTGCTTCAATGCTCTCCAAAACGCAGGGGAGGAGGGGGGCCATTCCTGAGTTTCCAAACACAATATTTTTTTCCGATCGAATGCCTAGGCCATCATGCCGAGAAAAGATCTCATAGTCTGAGAAGCCTCCGGTTTTTGCATCGAGCGTTGTAGCCGGGCCAGCTTCAAGAGGCGCACAACTTCGCCCATGAACATCAGCTGGTCGTTCATGAAGCCTTAATGTTTCTGCGTGTTTTGGCTGCTGAAGCAGTCATCATTCACACGCCATGGAATGGGCAAGGTGCCCGGCATTGCTCCGCCTGAGGGATTGCGTGACCGGCAAGCGCTCGAACGATTTCTTGTTGGATGCCGAGGATCGCGGAGGGCTTTGAGTCATTGAAGGGTGCTCAGTGAGGCCCAGCTATGAGCACCCTTTTTGCCAATTAACATGGAAGCTGACAGGGGGTTGCTGGAAGACCATTTTCCTTTGGAGGGACATTCCGGCGTCTTCCATGTCAATTGCTGGGTGGAGTATGCTGAAACAAGCCAACAACCGAAAGGTGGTTTTGCATGAGAGGGTTGCCATGTCTTTTCGTCAGATCGATCAGGCTCATCTATCTAGGGCCTTCTTCGACCAGGTTTAGCGACACACATCTTACAGATAAAGATTAATCATTACCAAGTGGCATGTTCTACTGTACACGTTGTGCATACGTGTTTTCTGCTGAAACTGGCACAATCTGGTGCTCTCTCTCTCTCTCTCTCTTTCTCTCTTTCTCTTTCTCTCGCTCTTTTCAGGGCATTTCTCTAGCGCTGCTGCCGCCTTCCCGCTGTGTTGCAGAGGTTGTGCAGGCGTTACCTTCTCATGCGGAGGTTGGGGGGTAGGTAGGCTAGTAGGTAGGTCTTACAGCTGCGGGTGTCTCTGCAGGACATGTCGTGCCGGGACCAGTTCACAGAAGAGGAGGCACCTGCCTGGAGCGATGCCAGCAAGATGTTGGAGTTGAGACATGGTTCCGGTCCCACACCTCTTTCAAACAAGAGGATCAACCCTGCTTGTCAAAGTGTTCGTGGTTTGGTTGCTAAACCCCATTCAGTTCACGATTGATGTGCGGTCAGGAGCAGTGTTGCTATCTGATTGTTTGGTAGGTCTCAGAATGACTTGTTCCTTAGGCTCCATTTCTCCCAAAAGCCGATCCCAGCAGGATCGGCAGAAGTTGAGTTTGACGTGTGGACCTGAAAGACGTAGGGGCGGCTGTGCAGATCACGCTACCCCATGATGTCCCATGGCACCTGGTGCCTTACAGCCCGGATTGGTACAATCTATTCTCAGACTTAAGTGTTTATCCTCTGGACAGCTGCCGCAAAGTGCATCTGCACAGGTTGCCTTTGACGACGATTTGCAACCAAAAGGGCAGACGCTGCTTGGCCTCAAAGCATGAACGCTGCCCCTGTTGCAAATTGAACCGAATAGGCTGGCAAAAGATGATGTCATGTAAGCTCCGTGTAGCCCCCTCAAGTAACAATGGGCACAATGATGGCCACCCAGGAGAGGTCACCAAAGCTTAAAAAAGGTTGCACATGTCACCCTCACCAGCCTGATTGTTGGGTGGCTTACAAGCCCAGCTGCAAGCAGCACTCGCGCCAGATGAGATGTCTCAGAAAGGTGTTTGCTCTTGAGCCGGCAAGGCCCACCAAGCGCTGGATGTACGTGCAACGCTATCAAGCGCTTTTTGGAAAATATGTGATGAATTATGCGGACCATTGTTGGGGGGAAATATGCTATATTAGCTGTTCTTGCAGCCATGCCAGGTTCATTCTTAAAGGAAGACGGCACCACGTTGCTTGAGGATGTTGGCTCACACATGTTCAAAGATGTTTGACCCACCACTGCTACATGCCACGCGGCGAGCACTCCTGCAGTTTAGGACATGAATTATGTAGCGTTCTCATCGATGATGAGAAGATGAGAAATGATCCCGTTGGGGCCTGCTCGGCCACTGCCCGTCGAAAGCAAGCCACCATTACATGTGCGGTTGCTACGTCAGGCACCCACCCAACCCATAAATACCATGCAAGACAGGGATCCCTGCAAGCATGACGGTGTCCATGGGCAACCTTGAGATCCATGAGCTGTAGGTCAAATAGTTTTTGTGCACCCCAGTTTCGCGCCGCTGAGGCCGATTTGTCGAGTGCACAGCGTGATCTCGCGAGGGACCATGGTCTCAGAGGACCCTTCTGAATATCCTTTGGCCTCCGGCGTCTCGGCAAGCAGCCCAGCCCGGACGGTCAGGGAATAGATCATCACCTCCCATCATCCCCTCCCCCCCCTCCACCCAAAGTATGCACACGTACATGTGGGGTTTGCTCATGGTCAAGATGGTTGATTGCCTTTTGGCCACCTTTCAACATCCTCCAAAAGGGGTCTTCGATTCTGCGGGCACCACCACAGAGAGAAGTAGACAGCTGTTGTTACGCATTGCCTTTGCCCGCCTTGTCCCATTCCCTCCATACACAGTAGATGATGCCTCAGCTGGACAGGTTGCCCATATGTCTTCATGAGGATAAGGAGCACAGGCACGTGCAAATGCCTCGATTCGCATGATGTGCCAGTCAGGCTTCCAGCCAGTGCATGTGTCAATCTTTGCCTTCAATGTCTGAGACTGGCAACACATTGCTCGCGGTGGTGTCTCTAGTCTAGGACCCTCGGCACGCCCAATTTCTTGAACTCACCCGTTGTTCGGTGAGGTTGCGCGTTGACGATGCTGAGAACAAGATGCACGCACTTGGTCTCTGCTGTAGCTGTTGCTTAATGCCCCTTGGCTGCACAGACTACTTCTCCTCATAGTCTTCAGGGTCGCTTTCCCACCTGATCAAGCTCGCACGCTCCTGCCCTCCGGGAAAAGAGCAAGTCTCCCTTGTACTTTCCTATCACTGTCCTATTGCCAAGACAGGGAGGACCGGAGACGGGAGACCGGAGACGTCTGGATTAAGGAGGCCTGGAAGGAGTTGATTTTGCACCTTGTCAACCTTGAAGCGCCTTCTGGTGGGCACCAGAAATGAATTGCATTTTGGCTCCTGGAAAGAAGTATTGGCAGGCAGTCCTTTGCAGAGTTACCGGCAAGGTCCCTGCGCATCAAGGCTAAGGTCTTCCGATTGCTGACTTCAAGGGTTCAGGGGGATGCGGGTGAAACCGCTTTGGCCTCATTAGGAAAAGCATCAACACCTCATTGCTGGGTAAACTTCCAGGTTTTCCATAAGGGCAAAGTAACGCCACGTGAGAACTTACACTTATTTCGTGCATGTTGCAGGCAAGGTATGTTCCAGTGAGCCTCAAAGAGGCGGAGCCCCCATTGGTTGATTGTTCGGAAGGAGGCCTACATGTCTTTCCACGGTGTGTCGTTTGGTGGCTGCTTTTCTTTCTTTGGCACTTTCACCTGTATCCATTTTCCTTTCAATCCATGGTTGGACACAACGCGTGCGGTGTGTTTAACAAGTATTGCACATTTTTTTCCAGGCATGGCCGCAAGCCGCAAGCACGGCTTTTCCAGTGCCAGGTGACCTCCAGCGTTCGGGGAATGCCCGCGCTTCAGTGCAGAATTTATGTTGGCTTGAATTTATGTGCATGGAGCCGGTTAGGTTGAGCATCACGCGTCCGTTTCCGCTGCTTAACGTCAGGTGAATGATGTGGCGTTCGGGTTGTACTTTGAGAGGAGTGCTGTTGTATGCGGTTTAAGCAAGGCCATGGTAGGCCATGGTAAGTGATGGCAAGTGGAACCTTGGTACAGTGTGGATCCCAGCTTCGGGATATCCGGACGTGCAGGATATCCGGCATGAAGCGGCCATGCTTTTCAATAGAGTCCCCTGTTGACAAGGAAATCTATGCACGCGAGCATGGAACCAATCCGAACCAGGTTCATAGGATGAAGTTCCGCATTTGACATGCCGCCTCGGCATCGTTCTAAGCCCCCCGCCGAAACAAGTGGGACCCCGTAAAAACCTTCAAGTTCTCATCTACATTTGTTTTTTGGGGGGGAGGGTACACCTTTGCTGGGATTTGCGCCTCTGACCTTTGTTCAAACATATGGGAGGGCTCCCCCTTCAGCGCCCCACCATTAATCCAAGCTGGCATTCGCACCAGTCACCAAATGAAGCACACAAACAGGGACCTATGCTGGAATATGTTCCAACTGTTTCACCTGCAGCAATTTGACGACCCCGGATGCTCTGACAATTGATCTGTGCACCAACACCTGTTGACCCCGTCAGATGCAGTGCTTGGCCTTTCGCCTTTCGGTGGCCACAACCTCAACGGGGAGAGACACCGTCGACAGCCCCGAAGTCAGAGGTCGACGTTAGGCAGCGCTGCGGCCGGCTCAGATAGGCCGAGGCCCAGGCGCCTGTTTGGCGTGTGCGCTTTGGCTATGCTCCGGAATCCACCCCGCTGGGTGCATTTCCCTTGGCCCAGAGGCGCCTCGCAGAGGCCAAAGAAAGAAGTTGCCATGGCTTGCCACGGGGCTTACCATGGGGCACGGGGCTTGCGGGCTGAAGGGTGTGCTTTCCATGGCCTCTGCCGCACGGTGCCTCTTGGGTCATTGAATCGGCCGGTGGCTTGCTCCGTGCGCCTCGGCCCTTTTCGCAGCGCCTGAGCTTTGTGGGTTGGCAGGCGAGGGGCGCGAGGTCAAGGGGCACAAGCGGCTCCGCACAGCTCAGTTTGTACAATAGAGACTCTGAAAGAAAGCTACAGTACAGGTTCCCGCCTTGTCACGCCAACAAAATCCAACAAGGCTCCGGCAACAGCCACCAGGGAGAAGCGTGTCGAGCAGAATGCATTTCACGAGCTCGGAGGCTTTGGGCCTTCCGATGCCCCATGGGCGGGGGCATCTGACATAGCAAGCGGCCTTGTTTTGAACATGCCCAGCCTTGCTCTCATGTTATCGTTTTAATGTGCTGAAAAGTAAGCGTTTCCGTGGGTTCGCCACATGAAATGCAAAATGATGGGGAAGAGCTTTTGCCAGCATGATGTGGAGAAGAAAGGCAGAGAGTTGGGAGCGCCAAAGATCCCACTCATTGCTTGGTTTTTGCCAAGTCTCAAAGCCTGAATGTATGACCGTGTGAAGTGTAAGGGTTCCCTTTTAGGTTGATTTACCAGGAAACCAACAGAACGGCTATGGGGGTCTCCCTGTTTTGATATGTTGGATGGGCTCGCCCATTGGGGGGGTTGGGAGGACCAAGGCGAGTGGCCTAGCGGACCGGCCGGGAAGTGAGCGGCAGACTGGACGGGGTTGCTTCCGAGCTTCCCAGCCCGACGTCAACGTGGCTTGTGGTGTTTTGGCGTTTGAATCCTTGCTGGAGTTTGTGGGCTTGCATGGCGTATGACTAGTGGATTGCGGATTATGTGGTTTTCGGATTAGACTACGCGCTTTTACAGGTTACGGGCTACTGTACGGGCAGCATGAATTTTCAAGGCTTCAGCACCAGGTGCCGATTCACACTTTGCATCGCGGACCACGGATTAAGAAGATTGCCAACCAGAAGTCTGCTTGTGAATAGGCCTCGGTGAATTTCGAACGGGCTAGCGCTATCATCAAATTGACGCAATTAGGTGCTTTTGTGCTACCATCCGCTGAAATCTAGATTTGCACGGGAGGCACGGCTTAACGGCGCAACTCTAAATGTTACCAACCGTACTCTTGGACATCTCAGGCATTTTGATCATGGACATTTTTGCCCTGGGCTGCATTGCACAAGGTTGGGGCTGATTGGATGAATGCTGTCATTGTTTGGCTAGTCTTTTAGTGGCGGTTTTGGTGCGGTGCCCCAATCGGGATGGTGGCCAAACACCACTTAGGACATTAACTCTCCGATCCCCAAGCAAGATTGGCTACGGTTTAGTCTGGCACTGATGGCAGGTCGTTGTAAATGGAGCATGGGGAAAAATAGCGCCAAGTATCAGTGTTTGTTTTCAGTGTTTCGTTCAACGCCACTTCAAACCGCCACAAAGCACTGTTCCATTGCAATTGTCATTTGAAGCAGCCATGGGATGTCGGGGCAAGAGACATGGCCACTTGTAGTGCAGGAGGTTCAGCTCAACAAGCTGGGCACCCACATGAGTTGGAGGGCTGATTCTGCGCTTTAGGGGCGGGAACGTGCTGGTGACAAGTCCAGCGCGCGATTCGCACCCGGAAGGCGCAGTGAATCTGGCTGATGCCAGAAGGGCACCAATGGGGATGGAACCATGCAGGGATAAACAACAGCGCTGTTTCACAGTATTTTCAGTTGGGCCCGCAAGAAGTTCCGAGGTTGGGTGTTGTGTGTTCAAGCTACGCATGTGTGTTTGCGGTTGTTCGAGGGGGAACCGGAGAGAGAGACAGAGGAAGAGAGAAAGAGAGAGAGAGCGAGAGAAAGAGTGGTTGTTGTTCCTGAGGCCAGTGGTATGGTTGCCCATCTGCGGAACATCATGCCTTGTTTGTGCTGGCATCAGCTGGCCGAACCCCTCGACGCTTGTGGGCAACAACCAATGTTTACGTCATTTGGTGCCATTTCCGCACAAGGATTTTTGACTTGGCCCGTGCTGCCTATGCAGCAGCCAAGAGGCTGGTTAGGGTTGCCGAGGGATCTTTGATAGAGACGTGAACTCACTGCAAAAGGTGTCCCCCGCTGACAGGTGCCTCCTTTTACGTTTGCCACCATTTATCCATTTGACAGCATCAGTAGTGGTCGAAGGGAGGGCCAGAATTGCAGCTCCGACAGTCATGGGTCACCTCTGATATCCTTGCTAGCGAACTTTGAACCACACGCTGCTTGGGATCGCCTATGCCAAACAGAGGGGAAGATTGGAAAACGTTGCCACTCAGTTTTCAAGCGAGGAAAAGCCTGGAACTTGCTCACTTCATATCGGCCTTTCACAATTTCACAAGCCAGAGCCGCCCCGTGGGTTTGGTATAACCATCATTGTGACTCTCCCTCAAATGCAACCACAGGAGTTTGGATCACTTTCTAGGACCCGTGCATGCCAATACATTCTAGTATCCAGTTCAATTTCCCGCGCAAAGAAGTATGAGGACGGTTTGCATTTAATTGGGAGTGGCTTTGAACAGACCTTTGCCTTTGCATAACGGCCACACTTTCGAATTTGCATGCCCATGTGTTGGCTTGCGTTCGGAAAAGTTTCATCAAGATAAATCAGATCAGTTCACTGCGCCTAGAAGCTCAGCTCAATTAGCTATGCTATTTGTTATGCAAACCATTGCAAACTAGAAGACCAAGTCAAAACATGCAGCACCTTTAGGTTTCGCAAGCCAGATTATACCCACTACGCTCTCTACACACCCTCAGGCCCACCTTCAAGTACTCCGCCGTTCAATGAAGCTAATGAGGGGACACTCTCTGAATGTTCCTGGGCCTGCAATCCTCCAGGTGTTGGCTGGTTTGGTTAGGAGATCGTGGCAGTCGCATAGATTCAGTGTGACTCAGATGGTACCGACATGTCAAGAGCATTAGTCGGGTCAACTTGTTCGCGAAGGTTGGGAGCCTCATATGGCAGCTTTACTACCATATCACCAATACCCCATGCATGGCAGTACTTTCACCAGCGGATTAGCTGATTTCGAAGACACAGTAAAGTAGGTGGCTTGGATGTATCTCGCAAGGATCCCTGTGAGGAACCGGTGAGGGCCGTAGAGAAAAGTAGGACTCGTAGACATGGCATGACGCCTTTGCTGAAGGCATTTTGAAGCTGGCTTGTCTTCGCGAGCTAGACGTACTGATCAGCACTGTCTTCAGTTGCTCAGTTGTCCAGACCGGACCTTCAAACTTTAGGGTTTCCCTTATGTTGTCCATGTGCAGTGAAGCTTCTGAAAGGGACCTGGTTCTTCCAAGTCCTTTGAGTAGGGGAGCGTTTGTCTGAGCCACTGTTGCATTGTGTGGCCATTGCTGCAACAGGATGGGATCCATGTCGTACATGACCGGGGAGGGTTGCTCATGTGATACATGACCGGGGAGGGTTGCTTGCCTGCTGTTGTTGGCTTGAAGAATGGCTTACGGCTTTTGAAGTTGCATAACCTGCATCAAACTTGTGACCTGCAGTCACAGTGAGCTTGTCCTGCAAGAGTTCCAAGCGTTGAGCTATGCCCTCTCTGATTCCCTCAAGACAAAGCTTGGGCTGCCATCACCAATCTGCCCATTCTAGGTCGGTGCACGGCATGTAAATCATGTTTCTAAGCGCCATGCATGAAACTGTGCTAACATGGCATCCACAGGAAGGTCCCCTTTTGGAAGACGGAGTTTCCGAAGATCACTGGAGGTCAAGTTCCATGTCACCGGGTCGGAGGGTAAATGCCATGGGGACCCTGCCCCTGACCAATGTATTATGACCCCTGTCGCTTGGGTGTTTGTGCTTGACGTTGCGCAAGGCATTGGCCACTTTGCATGTGTAATTGTCTTGTCGCATTAGGCATGGATCAGCTTGGGCATTAGAAGGAATACCGTGTTTGCACGAGCATCAGGTCATGCCTGAGGAAGAGCGCTGATGGTTTGGACGTTCGTCGATTTAGCACACTTGGCTTAGAGTAGTGGCTTTCAGGCTAAAGCTTCAGGTGGGCGAAACTGGGTGTGTGGGTGATGAGATTGTTTGAGTCTATCTCGCAGCGACTAGCCGCCGCCACGCCTTTCTGCCAAGAGTTCGGCGTGCGTTGGGTAAGA